AAAAAATCTAATGTTTATCATTTTTGTAGGCCTGTAAAATTTTTTACTTTCCTAAGAGGAGTATGTCAAGCAAAAAAAATGCAATTGTTTACTGAACTTTAAGATGTTCCAAACATGTGTGGCAGTTATTGATATTTTGTTGTTGCTGTGTTGTCCATATAATAAAAGTCCACACTGATTAATCTTTTCAAGCTCTTAAATGGGAATAAAAGTTTTCCATGCCTTTGGTGTTGTACATTTTAAGTGTTCTGAAGTGGTATGATCCATTCAATTAAAAGCTTATTAACTCTGAAATAAAACCAAAAGAGTAATTTTATCTGTCATGTACATATTTTTAAAATAATGTTGTTAAAGTCTGTTATTTGACTGTGAGTAATGATTTATTTATCAGTCTGAGCATTATGTAAGTTAGTTATGTTAACGCTTTTGAACGGCTGTGTGTGTACACACACACGCAGACATGTATATGAATTCATGATATAATGTCATAGGAAATTTGCACATTTACAGCATTTTGAAACTTTTTGGAAAAATAACCTCTAAATTGTTATTTCTTTAAATAGAAAATAAAAAGAACAATATTTAATACTTAATTAATTTTATACAGTTTGTAAGTTAAAAATAGGGCATTTCTAATGCAAAGAAGAATCAGGGTATCTTCCGATCATTCGGTTTTTAATTTATTATTGAAATCTGAAAAATGAAAAAAAAAAAAAAACGGCACATTTTTCTTTTTTCAATTGTTTAAACAAAACGAAAAATCAAGAATTTGGCTTCATTTTTCGCTTTTACGTTCAGGGATAGAAAACGAATAAGCAACTTGAATATTCGATCTCGAAATGTCGGGAATGAAACGCCCCTCTCCGCTGATTGGTCAACCAAACATTTAATAGTCCTAAAAAAACATAATAAGAGTCCTCCGCTTCTATGGATTCTTAACGTGTTTATTTCTACTACATTTGATCTCGTTCTCTTCATCAAACAGCCAGATTAACGAATGGCTTGGCACAAACCGTATCGAGGCAGAGCCTAGACAGAGCTTTCTTTTGTGTAGGCATAAATTCTGCGAACTACCCGTGAAATATTAGTTTATCTCATAAATATTAATTTACTTCGCACCTGCACTCACAACTACCTACTAGCCTACATCTTTGGCACACCGCCTGAATTATTATAGCTAACCAGCTATTAAATCTGTGTGGCAAAGCTGTGCGATGCACAGCAGCGTGGGAAGAATTTATTGTAGACAAGCGCATACCACTATTCATTTATGTGAACCGTTGTGTGACTGACTCGCAGCAGGCGCATATAGTGGTGTATCATTCCTGAATTAATCAGAGTCTTTGAAAAACCTATTATTATAGACAACAATGCAATTACCAATTATTATAGACAGCCACTTTATTTTATTTCTAAATGAATGAATGAAGCATTTTGAACGAATTGATTGAATAAAAGGCTCCTTTATTAACACAATGACTTACTGCCATCTAGTGGTGATATTACTTTCATAATTCAAGTATCATTTCATTTTATTCATATTTCTGTATTACAAATGTTGTATAAAACATTAATCTAATTTCATTATACATTTGTAAATGCACCTACAGCCGTCTGATCAGCATTAAACTGTAAATACATCTAAAAGCATCTTCAGACTCAGGTTCTATAGCACTGAATACTGATTTAATTGGTAACAGCCCGTCATATTATTCTAATTTATTTGATGTAAGAATTTAACATTAAAGATGACATACAAAAGGTAAAAAAAAATAAAATTAAAAAAATAAAAAAATTAAAAAAATGAAAATCAGTTGCCCCTTATGGGAAAGTTAGTTTCTGACACTGATGACACTGGCTTATTGTTCAGTGTTATTTCAGGGTTTGGATATGTTCTTATAACTCAAACGAGTTCACCTTCAAATCATGACGTCAAATTCACATTTCACTAAAGTCAATCACTGAAACAAGCACTGTGAGGAACAAATAGTCCCATGCCAGTGGGATAACAACATGTGATTTCCTAAATTTCTAGAAAGTGCTCTATGAATAAAACTCAAAAAAAGAAAAAAAAATAGATGTGCTGTGAAGGTAAACTACACAAAGTCATTTCTTTTCATATCTGTCATATTATTTAAGTTCCTCCTTTGTCAAAAACGCAGTGTATTGTCGAACACAAAAGTTATGACTATGTTCACATAAATTGATAGTGGTCTGTGCTTCAATACATACTTGCAGTGCGTCCCGCAGCTTTTCCACACATATTTTAATGGGTGGATAACTATAATAAAACAGGCTCTGCTTCAGTATGGTTTGTGTCAAGCCATTCATTAATCTGGCTGTTTGATGAAGAGATAAAATGTAGTAGAAATAAACATGTTAAGAATCAATAGAAGCTAAATTTCTAGAAAGTGCTCTATGAATAAAACTCAAAAAAGAAAAAAAATAGATGTGCTGTGAAGGTAAACTACACAAAGTAATTTCTTTTCATATCTGTCATATTATTTAAGTTCCTCCTTTGTCAAAAACGCAGTGTATTGTCGAACACAAAAGTTATGACTATGTTCACATAAATTGATAGTGGTCTGTGCTTCAATACATACTCCCCGCGCTGCAGTGTGTTGTGCAGTTTTGCCACACAGATTTTGATAGTTAGCTATAATAGATCAGGCGGTCTACCAAAGGACCAAAGGCTCTGCCTCGATACGGTTTGTGTCAAGCCATTCATTAATCTGGCTGTTTGATGAAGAAAAAGAGATCAAATGTAGTAGAAATAAACATGTTAAGAATCAATAGAAGCAGAGGACTATTTTTATGTTGTTGTTTTTTAGGACTATTATTATGTTGTAATGTTTGGTTGACCAATCAGCGGAGAGGGCCGTTTCATTCCCGCCCACAAGTAGAGATCGAATATTCAAGTTGCTTATTTGTTTCGAGTTAACGTAAAAACAAAAAATGAAGCCAAATTCTTGATTTTTCGTTTTGTTTGAACAAATGAAAAACGATAAATGTGCCTTTTTTTTATAATTTTTCAGATTTCAATAATAAATTAAAAAACAAATGATCGGAAGATACCCTGATTAAAGAAGGAGGATGATTAGTGTTCATTGGTATAAATAAATCAATCAAATGAAATCATGTAACTTCATGATTTCAGCACTAAGGTGACGTGAAAGTGTGACGTGACATGTGGCCAAGTATGGTGACCCATACTCTGAATTAGTGCTCTGCATTTACCCATCCAAAGTGCGCACACACAGCAGTGAACACACACACACCGTGAACACACACCCAGAGCAGTACAATCTAATTGCTTGGCGAAGTGTTTTTAGATGTATAGTTGTTTGTTGGGATTTAAAGAATGATGTATTGTTCACTAACTATGGCTTTTAGTGCAATACCATTATTTTGTGTATAATGTAATGTTTATTGAAAAGCATAATTTCTATGTGGGTTCATTTTTTCTCTGTTACATATGTGAATAAATATATTCTGTTTGGGTATTATGATAAGCTGATCTCTTGTATTTTAAAAGTTACCATTTAGTTTTGATCATTTAAACATTTTACGATCAAATAAACTTAATTCTTGTATTTATTTCATGGTTGCATGCATAAACATTGTGACTGGAAAAGATCAAAATAAACAGAGTGGCATGCCATATTATCATTAATAGGCATTTTTTAAATCTGAACTAACACTTGATTTTAAATAGCTTATTGTATCGTGTTTTTGAATTATTGTGCAGCAATGTGTAATTTAATTTATCTTTCTATATTTTGTTTGTATGTATAGATGCCTCGGATGAAGCAGTCTCAGCGCTCCCAGGCAGCCAAGAAGAGGATGGCGGACCAGATGGCTGCTGATCCTGAAGAGGTTTTGCCACCTCTTAAAAAAAACTGGCAGAAATATCTGAACGTTGTGTGCATCACAACGTGCTTGAAATACCTGATCATGACAATTTTCTGAAAGAACCTGATCTTGACATTTTTCGCAAAGAACCTGCTCTTGACAATTTCCCTGAAAATGATCTTGAAAAGCCTTTGACAATCCTTGACATACCTTTGACAACCCTTAAGAAACACTTTGAAGAACAACAAAAAAAAACATTCTCTAAAACGCTACCTGATTCTTCCTCTCTGCCTCACTCTACTGGAGATAGAAACATGACTGTGAATGCTGTTTCTGCTCTATGTCCACAGACTTCCTACATCAGAGGCTCTTTCCATCAAGGAGATTACCGTTTTGGCTGGAATAGTGGAAAGCAATGTGGTGCAAATAGTTTAACTTCAATTGTGATGTGTACGATGAAAAGTGTGTTGCAGTGGACGAGAAGTGAACGGAATGCTGTTCTGATCCATGGAAATGATCAGTACAGTGCCATGAGAGACGCAGGAAAAATCCACGATCGTAAATCAGGCTTCATACGTGTTGATGAGCTGCCAGACACACACATGCTGAACAATTGTAAATTTTCAATAAACTATGGTGAATCATTTACTGGTTTGTTTGGTGTCAATAAATATGATGGAGGACTGCAAGGGTATGCTATGTCACTTGATGAAGCAGTAAATTGAGCATTTCAGAGGTTTGATGCATGTTTGGTAAATATTAAGCTAACCATATGTGCAGCTGTTAAGAGAAGGTTCTTGGTATGCAGTGATTGATCCACATTCAAGACAAATCGGATGGCAAATCTGTAGCTAATGGTAAGAGTGTATTAGCTTACTATCCGAATATCAGTTCTCTGCTCGTTCATTTCAGGAAGCTTGGTGTGTCCATGAATGCACGTTATCATGAGTTTGAGGTAACTAGGGTCAACACATTTATGATTGACAGAAACAGCCAGCAGGGTAACTCATTCTGTCCAGTGATCCAGAAAACTGTTCAAGCAGTAAAAGAGAGTGAAGGTGAGAAGTTAGAAATGGAAATTGATGTTGGCTGCAGTCAATCTCTGAGTGATTTCATAAACACAGATAAAATATGATGTTGAATTTATTTCACAAACTGCCGGTGTTTCTTTACTGTTCAGTCCATTAACAGTACAGCAACAAAAGAGTGTTTGCTTAAAGCTGAACATTGTAAACGTTGTAAAAGAACAAAATAATCCAAATGAGATTGTTCAAATAGCTGAGCCTTGTGAAACTAAAGATATTGTTGCTGATGGTAACTGCTTTTTCAGACCGGTAGCTTATGCTGTAAGTGGAAGTGAACGAGAACACAGAAAAGTGAGGCGAGCTGTAGTTACACACATACTGCAGAATGAAGAAAAGTATGTACAGTATCTCAGACAAGGATACAGCTCTGTACCAGACTGCATTGCCACAACAAGAATGAAATTCGTCAGAAATTGGGCGACAGAGATGGAAATACAAGCAGCCAATGATTTAATTGGTGTAGACATATTTTCATTCAATCAAATGCGTCCTTTAATGCACATGGCTGTCAAGACAGTGGCATATATTTGAAACATGTAAATAGCTGCCATTATGAAGTTGTTGTATGTGGAAAAAGCAAGGATGGTAACTGTGCCTCATTTTGTAAATCACCATTTCAAGATTCATTGTTTGATGTAGCATCAAATGTGTCTTTAAACTCACGTGAGGATTACAGAGAGAAACTTGACTACAACAATAGTCTTGAGTTCAAAGAAGAAGAAAAAAATGAAAGCAAAGAAAAGATTCCATCAGGATGAAACTTACATTTCAATAATGAAATCTATCACTAAAAAATACAAGAAAAATGAACTGCATAAAGGAAAAGTAAAGAGAAGTGTGGACAAATACAAATCAAATGATTTACACTGCGAGGCTGTGTCGGAAATGGAAGTTGATGTTGGCTGCAGTCAATCTTTGACTGATTCATAAACACAGATAAAATATCTGCGAATGAAACAAGTGCAGAACAGAAAACAGAAACGCCTTCTTTACCCAACAAAAGAAAATGCAGATGATGTTGAATTTATTTCAGAAACTGTCAAGTGTTTCTTTAAAGTTTAGTCCATTAACACTACAGCAACAAAATAGTGTTTGCTTAAAGCTGAACATCGTAAACATTATAAAAGAACACAATCATCCAAATGAGATTGTTGAAATGGCTGAACCTTGTGAAATTAAAGATATTGTGGCTGATGGTAACTGCTTTTTTCAGAGCAGTAGCTTATGCTGTAAGTAGAAGTGAATAAGAACACCGAAAATTGAGATGAGCTGTAGTTACACACATACTTCAGAATGACACAAAGTATATTCAGTATCTCAGAGAAGGATACAGCTCTGTACCAGAGTATATTGCCACATCAAGAATGAAATTCGTTGGAACTTGGGCAACAGAGATGGAAATACAAGCAGCCAGTGATTTAATTGGTGTAGACATATTTACATAGTCAAGACAATTGGCTTAAATATTCATCTTCAAGCGTCTCTTCTAATAGACACCGCTATCAACACAAGGGAATTTATTTAAAACATGTTAATAGCTGTCATTATGAAGTTGTATGTGTAAAGAGAAAGGATGGTAGCTGTGCATCCTTTTGTAAATCACTATTTCAGGGTTCAATGTTTTATCTATCATTAAAAACTAGCTCAGACCCACGCAAGCTTTATAGAGAGAAAGTCCAATACAACCGTAATCATGACTTAAAACAGGAAAAAATAATCAAAAGAAGCGATATTACGAGGATGAAACGTACAAAGAGTCAATAAATAAATGTAGCAATGCAAAGTATAAGACAAATGAACAGTTCAAAGAAAAAGTAAAGAAATATAGCATGGATAAATACAAATAAAATAATATGCATTGTGAGGCTGTAAAAAAATATAGCCTCTTGAAGTACAGTACAGACGATGTACACAAAGAATCTGTGAAAAGAACAGTACAAACAGTACAGTATGGAGAAATATAAACAAAATTAACCACAGAGAGTCTGTCGAACAGTACAGCGTACAAAAATACCATGGAAATGAAATACATAAGAACATGGTGATACACTACAACATACAGAAATTATATTAATTTTGCCAATAGTATTAAAATGAGAAATGTTATAAGACCCCATGAAATAGATATGAAAAGAAAGGAGATGGACTACATAATTGAACAGTTTAAAGAAAAAATATCCTCAGGTCCTGAATATGTTTGTGCAGTCTGTCATCGCTGCTGCTTCAAAACACAAGTCAAACATTGCAATAAGAATTAATATTTTCAAATATCAAGTGAAGTTGGCTGTAAAGCAGAAAAATTTATAACACTGAAATACCTTCATAAATGTAATAAAAACTGTAGGCAACATTGTGTATACAAAAAATAGCCCTGCTGAACCTCTATGGATTTGCCACACGTGTGATAGAGTTCATGGCCCCATAACTTGTGTCCCATCTAATGTTACAGAAGTGCTGAATGTTTTACCAAGATCAGATAATGATTTTTTGATACCAGTAATGCTAGAGAAAACTGACATTTAAAGGGCATTGGGACTATAAATTTGTGCATTCTGAAAGATAAAAACAGCTTTGGCATACTTTAAATAAAGTAACAAATTTGATACAGATGTGGAGTTTAACAGGAGTTGGATTAATCCTCTGAGTAAATTAGAAGAAGAGATCAATGATGAAAGTGTTAGACCGGGTCTCCATGCCAGATAATATTTAAGATCCAGCCTCGGACGCCAGATCCCGTCAGAAAATATCAGTTTGTCCAGTAACAGAACAACTAGTCAGCAGCGCTGTTAATATCCAAACCCTGTCAACGGCAAGTCTTGTCTAGTATCCAAAAAATACCCAAAACAAGTGTTTAACAGTTTTCTGTCAGTCAAGAAGTTGACAGAGGAAAGCCAGAGAAGAGCAGAAGCAGGAGACAAAGTGATGATGGTTAAATAAAAGCAAACTTCCATAATCCTTATCAAAACACATCTTTAAAAAGTTTGGATGGCCAGTCCATACTTTTCTCTTCTCCATGTTCTTAAAAGAACAGGTCATTTATGGCATGCTGCGTACCAGCATCGGTTGGGGGAGTGTGTCTAACACTCTGTGATGGCCTTGTGAAAGTCAAACGTCTAACAAGACAAATCAACACTCTTATGGCAATATACAAGAGCAAGATTATAAACACTCCTGAAACTGTGACCACCAAAGGTGCTTTTAAATGATTCCAAAGTGGCCCCAATATTGGACTGAAAATGATCTACCTAAGTTAAAATGGTAACAGTTCCTGACTTCAGTGTGCTATACACACACAATTTTGGTGTATTTGGAAAGAAGACCCTTTGGCCTTTACTCAAAACTACCCATCATCCAGAGTTGATAATGCTAAAAAATATAAAAAGTTATAGACACTGAAGTGCCTTGAAAAAAATGGTACCACACTGATTTTTTTTTAAAATTTCATATAAAAATACATGAAATCAGTCCTGGGGCAATACAGAAAAGTAATGGGTTGAAAGTCACATGTCTCATGAGTATAGATTTCAAATCTGAAGAAGATACCATGAAAAATGAGATTCCTGCAACCATTTTTCTGAGACTGTCTAGGCAAACTATTTTAGTCATTATACATACCCCTGCATAGTTTTTAAATTATAAAACAATAGACAGAATCTTAGACAAAGTATAAGTGATTTATTTGAGCACTAGAAAAATACAATAGGAATAATTGAGTAATAAAAAGAAATAAGCAAAAAAAAAGAATTAACTATGTATGCCAAGTACATACTGTGATTGCAGCATTCACACTGATAGCTGCTCATACAGTCAGTAATCACATGCTGATGACCGGTCATACAGATGGTAATCATACAGATGGCTGGCCATATAATCAATAACCACACTCTAATGGTCGTTCATATAGACCGCATTCACACTGACAGCTGTCATACAGTCAGTAATCACATGCTGATGTGCGGTCATACAGATGGTAATCATACAGCTACAGCCACATTCTCCACAAAACACACACATGAAAAATCTTGAAGAAAAAAAAAAAAAGAATTATTTGTTCAAAAAGTCGATCGCTAAGTTACGCCCCTATCAGATGACAGGTGCGTCATGAGCCGTCACCAGAGAGCACCAGAATTCAAATAAACAATATTCTGCGCATCTTGACTTTTTTTAGTGAATGGTCTCATTCTGTTTATGACACTGTATGCTACAAAACCATGTTGCTTTTTACTACCAAGATGCAGTTTTTTGAGCGTAAGTTA